GGAGCCTGGGCTGGGAAGCCGGAGATAGCTGCAGAGTCAGCATGTGCTGGGAGTCTGTTGGAAATGCAGACTCACCTCAGCCCCACCGAACTGCAGTAAGATCCCTAGGTGATCTGCGGACACCTGCAGAAGAAAGTTGGAGAGGCGCGGGCTTAGAGACTTTGCCCCCCAACCTCACCACTTGCACTTTGTATTAGCTCGAGCTGCCGTAAAAAGTACCACAGACGGGGTGGCTTAAACAACAGAAATTTATTTTCTCATAGTTCTGGAGGCTGGAAGTCCGAGATCAAGGTGCCGGCAGGGTTGGCTTCTTCTGAGGCTTCTCCTCAGCTTGCAGAGGGCCACCTTCTTGCTGTGTCCTCACATGGTCATCCCTCTGTGCACGCACATCCCTGGTGTCTCCCTCTGTGTCCAAATTTCCTTTTCTCGTGAGGGACACCAGTTAGATTAGATTAAGTGTCTTGTTTTGACTTAGTCACCTCTTTGAAGACTATCTCCAAGTACAGTTATATTCAGAAGTGCTGGAGTTAGGGCTTCAACATATAAATTTTGTGGGAGATGCAATTCAGAACAATGACACCACTTTAAAGAAGAAGCAACTAAGGTTCAGAGAAGTGTGTGACGGTCCACAATCACACTGCAGGCTGAGAGGTGAGAGCTTCATCTCCGACAAGCCCTCTGGAGTGGCAGGGAGGGTAGTGTGAGAGACCAGGACACGGAGTCTGATGTCTCAGCTTTGCTCCCACTACTTCTGTGATCTTCGATAAATGCCTTAACATCCACAGACCTTAGTTTCCTTTTCTGTGAAATGGGGACAGTAAAAGGCTGTCCCTCACGAGGCCGTGAGGATTCAGTGAGATCTAGATGGGAAATGCAGATTACCACGCCAAGGCCGGTGGCCTGCTGACCCCGCTCTGACAGCCTCTGTGCTTTGCCTGCCATCAAAATCCTCTCTTATTTACTGCTAGCCAGAATGCCTGATTATTTTCCCCAGGTGATTTGCAGTGTAATAGCTGGAAAAACCAAGGGTTTAAAATGGTCACAGTGGAATTTCAGGCATCAGCTGGCAGGGGCACAGGGCTGTTCTTGAAAGCCGAGTTCGTGACAGGCAGTAAGAGAAAAACCCGCTGACGTGCCCTTGCCCTTCCACCTGGCTGCCTGGGGGTTCTCGCTCCTAAATTATAGGCCACACGCAATTTGATTTCGTTTCATTCTAAATTGCCCAGCCTGCAACCTGGGAGGAAATCAATTCTGCTGTGCAAATATGCCAGCGCCTGCCAACTTTGGGCCGCTTACAAATGAGGCCCAGCTACGGAGTATTAAGGCAATGACCACAATTTGCCTTTGGGGGTCAAACTAGGCACGATCGCAAAATTGTTTTCAAGTGTTTTGCTGTTCAGATTTTATGTAGCGTGCATCCTGTAAGGATCTATTCTATGCAAAGTGCTTTGCTAAGGCTGGAGCCGGACAATGGAGAGAACGTGTCTCCCTTCCTGTGCTTGGAGGGGCTCAGAGGCAGAATCACTCTTCTGAGACAGAGGGGCTCCCTTTCTTTTATCCATCCTTTATCCATCTGTCATTTTTTTTTTTTTTGGAGGGACTGCTTAAAATCCTACCCCCATGTCTGGCGTCAGGATAGCCGGTCAGAGGGAAGCAGTTTCTTTTAATCTGCGCCCAACCCTGGCCTTGGTGGTAAGGCATTCTCCCCAGGTCTGGGGCTAGATTCTTCAGTGTGGTCAAGTTGTCTAGTTTGTGGACTTCCCAGCTCCTCTGTTCCCCTCTGGCTTTTGACTCTATCAGCATCCTCTCTTGCCTCCCAGAATGCAGGGTCCAAAGAGAGAAAGACAGTAGTCATATCCTGAGTCACCGTGGACAAAATGTGGGAGACTCCCCCCCGCTCTGAGTCCCGTCCATCCACCGTCCAGCTGTGGCTGTCACTGCATCTGAGCTGTCCTGCAGCCCCGCCCTGCTTCCTCCCTGTGTGTCACCCTCACATGCCCAGGGCTCTGTAGGCCCCTTGTCGTAAGATCTCCTGCTATACGGGATCTGCTGAATTTATTCACATGAAGCAGTGAATAATTAATAACAATTGCTCCTTTCTGGAGTCCTTGCATTTTAACAAGAGGCCAATGCTTTAATAAAAAAAAAAAAAAGAGGGCTTCCCTGGTGGCACAGTGGTTGAGAATCCGCCTGCCAATGCAGGGGACGCAGGTTCGAGCCCTGGTCCGGGAAGATCCCATATACTGCGGAGCAGCTAAGCCCGTGCGCCACAACTACTGAGCCTGCGCTCTAGAGCCTGCGAGCCACAACTACTGAAGCCCACTTGCCTCAACTACTGAGTCCGCGCGCCTAGAGCCCATGCTCCGCAATGAGAAGCCACCACAATGAGAAGCCTGCGCACTGCAACGAAGAGTAGTCCCCGCTCACCAAAACTAGAGAAAGCCCGCGCGCAGCAGCAAAGACCCAACACAGACAAAAATAAATAAATAAATGTATTAAAAAAATTTTTTTGAAGGAAGAAAGCAATAAACATAACAGGTAGAATGATAGGCCTATAATTTCTGCTGGAGGGCCTTACGCGTGCCTGCCAAGCACGCGCCATCGTCCTCGCTTGAATCAAAGGCTGAAGGCCATCAGCCCGTTTGCCGCCTTGTCAGCAACCCTGGTGGGTGGGCAGCTGCAAGCCGAGATGCCTGCTGCCCATTAGAGAAGCTTGCCCACTGAAAACCGGGGATGTCAGCAGAAATGCACAGTGAATCAAAAACTGGAACAAATCGCTTTAATTAGCTAAAACCCAAACCTAATTCAAACAGTACTTCTTCACTGGACCATGAACCAACTTCATTCTCCGCCTGTCCCTAGTTGACTAGTTTCACCCAGAATTGAACCAAGATGGGAATGTGCTCACCGTCTGGTGAGCAAACGCCCCCCATTTCATAGGTGTGGACACTGAGCCCTGAGAGTTGTGGCCCAGCTCAAGGTCATAGGGCACCTAATGGGCCCAGATTTGACTCTTTACTCTGATATCCCCTTACTAATTGCTCCACTATTCCATGAGACCTGTTGACTCAGAACCTCAAGAGATAGTCCAAGTTATGCCATACATTGTGTATTCTTTTAAAAAATTTTTTTAAAATTTTTGGCTGCGTTTGGTCTTTGTTGCTGTGCACGGGCTTTCTCTAGTTGTGTTGAGCAGGGGCTACTCTTCCTTGCGGTGCACAGGCTTCTCATTGCACTGGCTTGTCTTTGTTGCGGAGCACAGGCTCTAGGCGTGCAGGCTTCAATAGTTGTGGCTTGTGGGCTCAGTAGTCGTGGCTCACGGGCTCTAGAGCGCAGGCTCAGTAGTTGTGGCGCACAGGTTTAGTTGCTCCGCGGCATGGGGGATCTTCCCAGACCAGGGCTTGAACCCGTGTCCCCTGCATTGGCAGGCAGATTCTTAACCACTGTGCCACCAGGGAAGTCCCTACATTGTCTATTCTTGTGGGTTTTGTTTTGCTTTTGATTATTTATTATTTTTTAAACCATTTTTAAAAATTGAAGTATAGTTAATTTACAATGTTGTGTTAGTTTCAGGTGTACAGCAAAGTGATTCAGTTATTATCATATATATTCTTTTTCGGATTCTTTTCCATTATAGGTCATTACACATATTGTGTATTTTTGAATCAAGATCCTCTCTTAAATTAAGAAGTTGGTAACCCAAATGGGAAATGGGTGGTTAGGTAGGAATTCTCCCAGCCTTCCATTCCTCCCACAGCCCTAGAAAATCAGAGGGAAACCTTTAAAATTGATTGTGATTCAATTTACATTACGATTACTAATATTGTCATTGTCATTATTTGCCTCAGTTAATCTACTCATTTTTACTTACCTCTCAAAGTTATAACAACATTCGGCTAAGTCAGTCGTTCTTAACTGGGGGAGATTTTGCCCCCAGGGACATTGGCAATTTCGGGAGACATTTTTGGTTGTCACATTACTGCTAAACAATGCCTAGGACAGCTCCACCCCCAGCACAAAGAATTGTCTGGCCCCAAATGTCAACAGGGTGGAGATTGAGAAACCCTGATCTGATCAACACAAAAGAGGGAGAAAATCTCCTGCAAATCCTGCTAGTTCAACAAATAAAACTCTTTCCTTTTCTGTGTTTCTCCCAGTCTCCACCCCACTATGTGTACTTAAAATTTCTATAGTTCTATCATCATGGCAGGAATACAGCTGACATCCCACTTTTTTTCACGTAATATCGCATCCTGAGCTTTTGTCCCTCATGCCTCGTTGTCTCCATAATTACCCTTTTTAATGGATGTGATGCAGTCCTCCAAGCAGGCTGACATCCCCTTTTTTACCTGACCCGTCCAAGTTCTCATCCGGGATGGTTACTGAGAGCCTTGCCAGGCGGGCTGTGTGGGGTGGGGAGCTTGCGTGGGCCCTGCTGTGACCAGCCTTCTCCTCCACCTGCAGTGCAGGCTGATGCCATCATAGTTTTCGTCGTCAACAGGCCTTTATGAAGCACCTTGGTGAATACATCCTGGCCCCGGCGGGGAGGGATCTTCTGCAGAGGTCATCCCACCAGCCCCTGACATCCAAGGCTTGTTGGCTCGAACAGGCAGCATATATGTCAACCAACCACGACAGCATCCGAAGACTGGGCTGTAGGCCCCAGGCACAGGGTGCCAAAGCAGATTCTTAGGCAATATTCATGACAGGAGTAAGTGCATCTGGAATGCAAAGACAGGCTGGATTCCCAAAGGGAGTCAGGGCCTTGAATCCTCTCCTCCCCCTGACTGCAGGCTTCTGGAAGGACATGGGAGTGTAGAAGCGATGGGAGGGAGGCAGGAGCAGCTTGACAGGTGAAGGACTCGGGGTCAAGTGTTCCAGGCTCCAGTGTACAAGTGCACAGCCTGGGAGAAAACTAGAGACTACCGGAGATGTTCCTCCTGAGACCTTCCCGCCACCCTCTCGTCTCACCTCGGCGCCCCTTTCTCTTCCCCCTGCAGGTGTTCCATGAGCAGGGCATCCTCTTCGGCTACCGACATCCACAGAGTTCCGCCACGGCCTGTCTCCTCAGCCTTTTCCAAATGACCAATGAGACCCTCAACATCTGGACGCACTTGCTGCCCTTCTGGTACCTCCCAGCCCCCTTGGCCAGCTGCTCACTCAGAGCCTGGGGACTGGGGCTTCTTTAAGCACAGCTGGGGTGGAGAGAGCTGAGATTCCGTGATGGGATTTGGGGGACTCCCCCGTGGTGCTGGGAGGTGTGGCGGTCTGCTGCTGGGGTGAGCTCTAGGACCCAGATTGCGGTAGGATTGGAGGGGCTCCTGGAAGCTCTCCGGTCTTTCCCTGCTCCCCTGCTTCGGGGCCTGATTTGAGAGGATTGTCTTATTCGGTCTTGGAGGCTCTCTGGGTCTTTTGGAAGCCCTGGCTAAAATTCCCTAGCTTCAGCAAGTCACTTAACCTCTCTGGGCTTCGCATTTTCCCACATGCCAAGCAGCTTAGTCTGCGCCTTTCCTGGGGTTGCCCTGAGGATTAGGGGATGAGGCATTGGAAAAGGCATCGGGCACAGAGCTGTGGGTGCCTGGGACCACAGCAGCTGTGAGGCATGTGGTCAGGCAGCACTGAAATGGAGCCAGCCAAGAGAACGCTCTGGCACGTGCACACACACAAAAGGGAGCTGCCAGGAAGGTGAGGAGGGACCTGGCTGAGAAAGGTGGGGACCGAAGAACAGCTTCACATACCTGGTGCCTGTGCATAGCGAGTGAAGGGTGGAGATGGGGTCATAGTATACGAGAGCTGGAAGGACCATGGGAGTCATGCGGGCCACCAGCCGACTCAGACCACCGCTGGCTGACACAGATGCGGCCCAGAGAAAGGAGTGACTTGCTTACATCCCCTGGCAAGTTCTGGCACGGGTTGGTCTCTGGACTCCCCCTCCCAATCATATTGAGAAGCCAAGAGAGTAGGAAGGACCCCAGGGTGTGCTGCAGGCAGAGAGGGGCCTGAGGACGGGGGCCTGCCTGGCCAGCAGTTAGAGACAGACCCAGGGCAAAAGGCAGGGGAAGTCTGCTTGGTGCCAGAAACGTTGCCAGTGGAGAAGAGGGAGAGCTCAGGCTTGGGGTGGGATAGGACCACCCGTAAAGAAGCCCTAGCGCCTGCAGACTGGTCCGGGTGGCAGCAAGATCTGCTCACGGAGGCTGCTCGTTGTTTTAAATTTAAGTCAACTGGACGCACTTGCTGGCCTTCTGGTACCTCCCAGAAGGGTAAAAAGTCTAAATGATAATAAATTATAACATTGCAGAAGGGAGTAGAGTTGGCGTCTTCCCCCGGCCCCTCTTCGTCCTCTCTGGAGCCGCCGGGGTGACCTGCTGCTCGTGCATCCTCCCAGAACGCTCTTCTAGAGACTCGAGCATCTGTGACATGTGTGTACACCCAGCACCTGGTTCTTTCCTCCCTTGCTTTTCCCTCAGAGATCTCTTGTCTGACCCTCACAGAAACCTCTCCAGCTTTTGAGCGGTGTCCCATTTTCTGGATGAACCACAGGTGACTTAGGCTATTTTGAAGTTTGTGCCAACCACACAGTGCCAGCCTGACCATCCCTGTTTGCGGGGCTTGAGTTGCTGTGCGCAGATCCCGTTGTAGCTGTTTTACAGCTGAGACGTGCTGGCAGGGGCCGCCCCACCGGGCATGATGCCCCTGTACTGCCAGGCCTTGAGAGCACAACACAGAGCAGCAAGGAGGGCTTGGGAGAGCCAGAGAAAGATGCCCCAGGGAAGCGGGACTTGGGAGTAATCTCGAGATGATAAAAGGGTACATTCTGAAAAATAGCAGATAGCTTAAGCTTGATTTCTGCTGGGACAGGAGGGAAGAGATCACAAATGTAGCCAGAGAAGTTAGCGATGCTCTTGGGGTTCCTGCGTGAAAAGCTTTTAGTCCCTTCCCTGGGAGAGTTTGTGGGCAAGGGGCCTGGCTCTCTAGTAGAGGTTTGTGGAAGTGGGCAGCTCTATAAGCAAGAAACCCACGCATGGGTTATAGGTTAGGCAGATCTGACACAGAACTGTGCAGTGTCTCCATGTAGAGAAGGGTCTGGAGGCCTAGGCTTAGCCGAGACTCAGCTGTGGGACCAGGCCCCTCAGAAAAGAGATGGTGAGATTAGTGGAGGAATAGCATGGAAGAGGGGGGAGAAAATCGTCCTGTTGTCTTCCAGACTTTCCAGACCCCACAGAGGAGATTGCTCCTCTTTGAGGTGCCCTCCTGCAAGGGGAACTTGGACCAACCACAGGGATGACGACAAGGCCGAATTTGGATCCCATGAAGAATGGTTGAATGCACCGAGGTTTTTTAATGTGAAGCTCAGAGAGGTGTGAGGGATTATGAAGACAGCCTTGAGATATTTGATGGGTTTGTTTTCTGTTGCACTGATGGGGAGACCTAGGGCTGATCCAATGGAGAGAGATTCCAGGGAGACAGATGGAGGCTCAATGAAACTTTGCAACACTCAGAGCTGCCTCAAGAGATGGTGAGCTCCCCATCCCTGGAAGCATGCAAGCTGAAGCTGGAGAGTCACCTGGGCAAGATGCTGTAAAAGGGATCTGTCACCACACGCAGGGGGAGGGGACTGGACCATTGCCCATCCTGCATATTTCCAACCAAAAAGGACCCCACTCACCCTTCCTTGCTCATGGCATGTCACCAAAGCGAGACCATGTAGGAGCCGGTCATCCCAGGGAAATGGAAGGCAGACGACGGTCGGCTTAGGACTATAAGAGGGGCCCCTGTCTCGGAGGTTGAGGGTGTCCCCCTGTGTTCCAGGTTCTTCATGTGGAGGTTTGTGAGCACCCTGCGTGTGACGGACGTCCTGAATGACAGCTACTCCTGGCCTCTGCTCGTGTACATGGGCGCCAGCTGTGTGTACCCCCTCGCATCCAGCTGTGCACACACCTTCAGCTCCATGTCCAGGAACGCCCGGCACATCTGTTACTTCCTGGACTACGGCGCCGTCAACCTCTTCAGCCTGGGTACGTCAGGCGCTGCTCTTGTCTCCTCTTCCCTGGGACTGAACCACCTGCATCTTCCCCTGGGAGCTGGGGTCACCATGAGGCTCTGGTGGGCTTCCGGAAGAGTCACCGCAATGCCAGTGCCCCTGCCCGGGTGCCTGATGAGTGTTTTATAAGAAACTTGTCCAAAGGCCTTCTGGCAAATATTTAACAACTGGCTCTCTGTGGACAAAAGTCCCGGTCCGTGGTGTTGGCAGGTTTGCTGTGGTGTAAATACTCCTGCCACGGCCGGCTTCAAGCCGACAACATCACTGAACACAGGGCTGGGGAGAGATGCATGGCAGGTCCCCATTACGTAGCAATTCCTCTGTACAGATACAGCGGATGCATTGACTGAACAGTTGTTACTCTTGTTAATATGATGGATAGCATTGTAAGTTTATGTCATTCAATTTTTTTTTTATAAATTTTATGTATGTATGTATGTATGTATGTATTGGCTGCGTCAGGTCTTCCTTGCTGTGTGCAGGCTTTCTCTACTTGCGGCGAGCGGGGGTTACTCTTCGTTGTGGTGCACAGGCTTCTCATTGCAGTGGCTTCTTTTGTAGTGGAGCACACGCTCCAGGCGTGCGGGCTTCAGTAGCTGTGGCATGTGGGCTCAGTAGTTGTGGCCCGTGGGCTCTAGAGCGCAGGCTCAGTAGTTGTGGTGCACGGGCTTAGTTGCTCTGCGGCATGTGGGATCTTCCCGGACCAGGGCTCGAACCCGTGTCCCTTATTGCGGTGGCTTCTCTTGTTGCAGAGCACGGGCTCTAGGCGTGCCGGCTTCAGTAGCTGTGGCTCGCGGGCTCTAGAGTGCAGGCTCAGTAGTTGTGGCGCACGGGTTAGTTGCTCCACGGCATGTGGGATCTTCCCAGACCAGGGCTACGAACCCGTGTCCCCTGCATTGGCAGGCGGATTCTTAACCACTGCGCCACCAGGGAAGTCCTCTCTCTTCCACTTTTAAGAACCCTCGTGATTACATTAGGCCTACCTGGATAATCAAGATAATCTCCCTATTTTAAGGTTAGCTGATTAGCAACTTTAATACCATCCCGTGACCTTAATTCCCCTTTGCCGTGTAACCTAACATATTTACAGGTTCTGGCGATTAGGACATGGACATCCTTGAGAGGCAATTATTTTGCCTACCACAGACTCTCAAATCATGTTATCACAAGCTTGCCCATGGCAGATTTTTAAATCAATGCCTAAATTCTAAGATTCTTTTTCTAGTTCTTAAATCAAAGACTGTATTATTATAATAAAGTAAAACTGATGGAATGCTCCATTGTTTCAACTTCGTCACTTTCTTCTTCTGCGGATCAGCACTCCGTATAATGTTCTTCATTCAGTGGGGGCATCTCACCCTGGTACACCTACCTGTACTGAGTAACATTTACTTTTTAAAAACATCCTATGTGTCTTTGTTTTTTTCACTTTATTGCTCATTAAAGTACTAATATCCTTCAGATCCTCCATCCTAGATACAGTGATCATTTGCTTCACTACTTTGTATCCATCTTACATGTTCGGCCAGAAGAAGTTTGCCATCATCTTGTATAAATATTGTCCTGCACGTATGGAAAGCATCGTTATGCTTGACTGAATATTAGACACGTATTTTTTAAAGAACATCACCCCAGTGTTCTAAATTGACCTTTATCTGTAATTGCTTAATACCAACAATGGTTGGCTATTAATTCAGCCAACTTTCAGTTCTAGTAATTGCGTGTGGGTTGTATACCAGTGATGTTTTATGTGTTTTAGATTGAGAACCTAAGTGTTCTCTTTTACCAGGACCAAGCATGGTCCGTCCTGCATGAGACAGTGGCTTGGTGTCCGACCCAGTGTCAGGCACGTGGCAGATACTCACTAAATGACTGGTTATACTCGATACAGCAATTTGTGGCCTGCTCTCTTCCTCCCCATTCTATCCATGCCTCTGCCTACCAGCACCTCACCAGACTCCTCGCTGGTCTCTCACTGTCCCCTCCCTTGCTTTTCATGCCTTTGTCTTTGGGTTCATCTTAACATACCTAAAGGGCACCTCCTCTTCTGTGATGAACTACAGATTCTGGACAGGGAGGTGACAGCACGATGCTGAGGCAGGAGCCTGGGCTGGGAAGCCGGAGATAGCTGCAGAGTCAGCATGTGCTGGGAGTCTGTTGGAAATGCAGACTCACCTCAGCCCCACCGAACTGCAGTAAGATCCCTAGGTGATCTGCGGACACCTGCAGAAGAAAGTTGGAGAGGCGCGGGCTTAGAGACTTTGCCCCCCAACCTCACCACTTGCACTTTGTATTAGCTCGAGCTGCCGTAAAAAGTACCACAGACGGGGTGGCTTAAACAACAGAAATTTATTTTCTCATAGTTCTGGAGGCTGGAAGTCCGAGATCAAGGTGCCGGCAGGGTTGGCTTCTTCTGAGGCTTCTCCTCAGCTTGCAGAGGGCCACCTTCTTGCTGTGTCCTCACATGGTCATCCCTCTGTGCACGCACATCCCTGGTGTCTCCCTCTGTGTCCAAATTTCCTTTTCTCGTGAGGGACACCAGTTAGATTAGATTAAGTGTCTTGTTTTGACTTAGTCACCTCTTTGAAGACTATCTCCAAGTACAGTTATATTCAGAAGTGCTGGAGTTAGGGCTTCAACATATAAATTTTGTGGGAGATGCAATTCAGAACAATGACACCACTTTAAAGAAGAAGCAACTAAGGTTCAGAGAAGTGTGTGACGGTCCACAATCACACTGCAGGCTGAGAGGTGAGAGCTTCATCTCCGACAAGCCCTCTGGAGTGGCAGGGAGGGTAGTGTGAGAGACCAGGACACGGAGTCTGATGTCTCAGCTTTGCTCCCACTACTTCTGTGATCTTCGATAAATGCCTTAACATCCACAGACCTTAGTTTCCTTTTCTGTGAAATGGGGACAGTAAAAGGCTGTCCCTCACGAGGCCGTGAGGATTCAGTGAGATCTAGATGGGAAATGCAGATTACCACGCCAAGGCCGGTGGCCTGCTGACCCCGCTCTGACAGCCTCTGTGCTTTGCCTGCCATCAAAATCCTCTCTTATTTACTGCTAGCCAGAATGCCTGATTATTTTCCCCAGGTGATTTGCAGTGTAATAGCTGGAAAAACCAAGGGTTTACAATGGTCACAGTGGAATTTCAGGCATCAGCTGGCAGGGGCACAGGGCTGTTCTTGAAAGCCGAGTTCGTGACAGGCAGTAAGAGAAAAACCCGCTGACGTGCCCTTGCCCTTCCACCTGGCTGCCTGGGGGTTCTCGCTCCTAAATTATAGGCCACACGCAATTTGATTTCGTTTCATTCTAAATTGCCCAGCCTGCAACCTGGGAGGAAATCAATTCTGCTGTGCAAATATGCCAGCGCCTGCCAACTTTGGGCCGCTTACAAATGAGGCCCAGCTACGGAGTATTAAGGCAATGACCACAATTTGCCTTTGGGGGTCAAACTAGGCACGATCGCAAAATTGTTTTCAAGTGTTTTGCTGTTCAGATTTTATGTAGCGTGCATCCTGTAAGGATCTATTCTATGCAAAGTGCTTTGCTAAGGCTGGAGCCGGACAATGGAGAGAACGTGTCTCCCTTCCTGTGCTTGGAGGGGCTCAGAGGCAGAATCACTCTTCTGAGACAGAGGGGCTCCCTTTCTTTTATCCATCCTTTATCCATCTGTCATTTTTTTTTTTTTTGGAGGGACTGCTTAAAATCCTACCCCCATGTCTGGCGTCAGGATAGCCGGTCAGAGGGAAGCAGTTTCTTTTAATCTGCGCCCAACCCTGGCCTTGGTGGTAAGGCATTCTCCCCAGGTCTGGGGCTAGATTCTTCAGTGTGGTCAAGTTGTCTAGTTTGTGGACTTCCCAGCTCCTCTGTTCCCCTCTGGCTTTTGACTCTATCAGCATCCTCTCTTGCCTCCCAGAATGCAGGGTCCAAAGAGAGAAAGACAGTAGTCATATCCTGAGTCACCGTGGACAAAATGTGGGAGACTCCCCCCCGCTCTGGGTCCCGTCCATCCACCGTCCAGCTGTGGCTGTCACTGCATCTGAGCTGTCCTGCAGCCCCGCCCTGCTTCCTCCCTGTGTGTCACCCTCACATGCCCAGGGCTCTGTAGGCCCCTTGTCGTAAGATCTCCTGCTATACGGGATCTGCTGAATTTATTCACATGAAGCAGTGAATAATTAATAACAATTGCTCCTTTCTGGAGTCCTTGCATTTTAACAAGAGGCCAATGCTTTAATAAAAAAAAAAAAAAGAGGGCTTCCCTGGTGGCACAGTGGTTGAGAATCCGCCTGCCAATGCAGGGGACGCAGGTTCGAGCCCTGGTCCGGGAAGATCCCATATACTGCGGAGCAGCTAAGCCCGTGCGCCACAACTACTGAGCCTGCGCTCTAGAGCCTGCGAGCCACAACTACTGAAGCCCACTTGCCTCAACTACTGAGTCCGCGCGCCTAGAGCCCATGCTCCGCAATGAGAAGCCACCACAATGAGAAGCCTGCGCACTGCAACGAAGAGTAGTCCCCGCTCACCAAAACTAGAGAAAGCCCGCGCGCAGCAGCAAAGACCCAACACAGACAAAAATAAATAAATAAATGTATTAAAAAAATTTTTTTGAAGGAAGAAAGCAATAAACATAACAGGTAGAATGATAGGCCTATAATTTCTGCTGGAGGGCCTTACGCGTGCCTGCCAAGCACGCGCCATCGTCCTCGCTTGAATCAAAGGCTGAAGGCCATCAGCCCGTTTGCCGCCTTGTCAGCAACCCTGGTGGGTGGGCAGCTGCAAGCCGAGATGCCTGCTGCCCATTAGAGAAGCTTGCCCACTGAAAACCGGGGATGTCAGCAGAAATGCACAGTGAATCAAAAACTGGAACAAATCGCTTTAATTAGCTAAAACCCAAACCTAATTCAAACAGTATTTCTTCACTGGACCATGAACCAACTTCATTCTCCGCCTGTCCCTAGTTGACTAGTTTCACCCAGAATTGAACCAAGATGGGAATGTGCTCACCGTCTGGTGAGCAAACGCCCCCCATTTCATAGGTGTGGACACTGAGCCCTGAGAGTTGTGGCCCAGCTCAAGGTCATAGGGCACCTAATGGGCCCAGATTTGACTCTTTACTCTGATATCCCCTTACTAATTGCTCCACTATTCCATGAGACCTGTTGACTCAGAACCTCAAGAGATAGTCCAAGTTATGCCATACATTGTGTATTCTTTTAAAAAATTTTTTTAAAATTTTTGGCTGCGTTTGGTCTTTGTTGCTGTGCACGGGCTTTCTCTAGTTGTGTTGAGCAGGGGCTACTCTTCCTTGCGGTGCACAGGCTTCTCATTGCACTGGCTTGTCTTTGTTGCGGAGCACAGGCTCTAGGCGTGCAGGCTTCAATAGTTGTGGCTTGTGGGCTCAGTAGTCGTGGCTCACGGGCTCTAGAGCGCAGGCTCAGTAGTTGTGGCGCACAGGTTTAGTTGCTCCGCGGCATGGGGGATCTTCCCAGACCAGGGCTTGAACCCGTGTCCCCTGCATTGGCAGGCAGATTCTTAACCACTGTGCCACCAGGGAAGTCCCTACATTGTCTATTCTTGTGGGTTTTGTTTTGCTTTTGATTATTTATTATTTTTTAAACCATTTTTAAAAATTGAAGTATAGTTAATTTACAATGTTGTGTTAGTTTCAGGTGTACAGCAAAGTGATTCAGTTATTATCATATATATTCTTTTTCGGATTCTTTTCCATTATAGGTCATTACACATATTGTGTATTTTTGAATCAAGATCCTCTCTTAAATTAAGAAGTTGGTAACCCAAATGGGAAATGGGTGGTTAGGTAGGAATTCTCCCAGCCTTCCATTCCTCCCACAGCCCTAGAAAATCAGAGGGAAACCTTTAAAATTGATTGTGATTCAATTTACATTACGATTACTAATATTGTCATTGTCATTATTTGCCTCAGTTAATCTACTCATTTTTACTTACCTCTCAAAGTTATAACAACATTCGGCTAAGTCAGTCGTTCTTAACTGGGGGAGATTTTGCCCCCAGGGACATTGGCAATTTCGGGAGACATTTTTGGTTGTCACATTACTGCTAAACAATGCCTAGGACAGCTCCACCCCCAGCACAAAGAATTGTCTGGCCCCAAATGTCAACAGGGTGGAGATTGAGAAACCCTGATCTGATCAACACAAAAGAGGGAGAAAATCTCCTGCAAATCCTGCTAGTTCAACAAATAAAACTCTTTCCTTTTCTGTGTTTCTCCCAGTCTCCACCCCACTATGTGTACTTAAAATTTCTATAGTTCTATCATCATGGCAGGAATACAGCTGACATCCCACTTTTTTTCACGTAATATCGCATCCTGAGCTTTTGTCCCTCATGCCTCGTTGTCTCCATAATTACCCTTTTTAATGGATGTGATGCAGTCCTCCAAGCAGGCTGACATCCCCTTTTTTACCTGACCCGTCCAAGTTCTCATCCGGGATGGTTACTGAGAGCCTTGCCAGGCGGGCTGTGTGGGGTGGGGAGCTTGCGTGGGCCCTGCTGTGACCAGCCTTCTCCTCCACCTGCAGTGCAGGCTGATGCCATCATAGTTTTCGTCGTCAACAGGCCTTTATGAAGCACCTTGGTGAATACATCCTGGCCCCGGCGGGGAGGGATCTTCTGCAGAGGTCATCCCACCAGCCCCTGACATCCAAGGCTTGTTGGCTCGAACAGGCAGCATATATGTCAACCAACCACGACAGCATCCGAAGACTGGGCTGTAGGCCCCAGGCACAGGGTGCCAAAGCAGATTCTTAGGCAATATTCATGACAGGAGTAAGTGCATCTGGAATGCAAAGACAGGCTGGATTCCCAAAGGGAGTCAGGGCCTTGAATCCTCTCCTCCCCCTGACTGCAGGCTTCTGGAAGGACATGGGAGTGTAGAAGCGATGGGAGGGAGGCAGGAGCAGCTTGACAGGTGAAGGACTCGGGGTCAAGTGTTCCAGGCTCCAGTGTACAAGTGCACAGCCTGGGAGAAAACTAGAGACTACCGGAGATGTTCCTCCTGAGACCTTCCCGCCACCCTCTCGTCTCACCTCGGCGCCCCTTTCTCTTCCCCCTGCAGGTGTTCCATGAGCAGGGCATCCTCTTCGGCTACCGACATCCACAGAGTTCCGCCACGGCCTGTCTCCTCAGCCTTTTCCAAATGACCAATGAGACCCTCAACATCTGGACGCACTTGCTGCCCTTCTGGTACCTCCCAGCCCCCTTGGCCAGCTGCTCACTCAGAGCCTGGGGACTGGGGCTTCTTTAAGCACAGCTGGGGTGGAGAGAGCTGAGATTCCGTGATGGGATTTGGGGGACTCCCCCGTGGTGCTGGGAGGTGTGGCGGTCTGCTGCTGGGGTGAGCTCTAGGACCCAGATTGCGGTAGGATTGGAGGGGCTCCTGGAAGCTCTCCGGTCTTTCCCTGCTCCCCTGCTTCGGGGCCTGATTTGAGAGGATTGTCTTATTCGGTCTTGGAGGCTCTCTGGGTCTTTTGGAAGCCCTGGCTAAAATTCCCTAGCTTCAGCAAGTCACTTAACCTCTCTGGGCTTCGCATTTTCCCACATGCCAAGCAGCTTAGTCTGCGCCTTTCCTGGGGTTGCCCTGAGGATTAGGGGATGAGGCATTGGAAAAGGCATCGGGCACAGAGCTGTGGGTGCCTGGGACCACAGCAGCTGTGAGGCATGTGGTCAGGCAGCACTGAAATGGAGCCAGCCAAGAGAACGCTCTGGCACGTGCACACACACAAAAGGGAGCTGCCAGGAAGGTGAGGAGGGACCTGGCTGAGAAAGGTGGGGACCGAAGAACAGCTTCACATACCTGGTGCCTGTGCATAGCGAGTGAAGGGTGGAGATGGGGTCATAGTATACGAGAGCTGGAAGGACCATGGGAGTCATGCGGGCCACCAGCCGACTCAGACCACCGCTGGCTGACACAGATGCGGCCCAGAGAAAGGAGTGACTTGCTTACATCCCCTGGCAAGTTCTGGCACGGGTTGGTCTCTGGACTCCCCCTCCCAATCATATTGAGAAGCCAAGAGAGTAGGAAGGACCCCAGGGTGTGCTGCAGGCAGAGAGGGGCCTGAGGACGGGGGCCTGCCTGGCCAGCAGTTAGAGACAGACCCAGGGCAAAAGGCAGGGGAAGTCTGCTTGGTGCCAGAAACGTTGCCAGTGGAGAAGAGGGAGAGCTCAGGCTTGGGGTGGGATAGGACCACCCGTAAAGAAGCCCTAGCGCCTGCAGACTGGTCCGGGTGGCAGCAAGATCTGCTCACGGAGGCTGCTCGTTGTTTTAAATTTAAGTCAACTGGACGCACTTGCTGGCCTTCTGGTACCTCCCAGAAGGGTAAAAAGTCTAAATGATAATAAATTATAACATTGCAGAAGGGAGTAGAGTTGGCGTCTTCCCCCGGCCCCTCTTCGTCCTCTCTGGAGCCGCCGGGGTGACCTGCTGCTCGTGCATCCTCCCAGAACGCTCTTCTAGAGACTCGAGCATCTGTGACATGTGTGTACACCCAGCACCTGGTTCTTTCCTCCCTTGCTTTTCCCTCAGAGATCTCTTGTCTGACCCTCACAGAAACCTCTCCAGCTTTTGAGCGGTGTCCCATTTTCTGGATGAACCACAGGTGACTTAGGCTATTTTGAAGTTTGTGCCAACCACACAGTGCCAGCCTGACCATCCCTGTTTGCGGGGCTTGAGTTGCTGTGCGCAGATCCCGTTGTAGCTGTTTTACAGCTGAGACGTGCTGGCAGGGGCCGCCCCACCGGGCATGATGCCCCTGTACTGCCAGGCCTTGAGAGCACAACACAGAGCAGCAAGGAGGGCTTGGGAGAGCCAGAGAAAGATGCCCCAGGGAAGCGGGACTTGGGAGTAATCTCGAGATGATAAAAGGGTACATTCTGAAAAATAGCAGATAGCTTAAGCTTGATTTCTGCTGGGACAGGAGGGAAGAGATCACAAATGTAGCCAGAGAAGTTAGCGATGCTCTTGGGGTTCCTGCGTGAAAAGCTTTTAGTCCCTTCCCTGGGAGAGTTTGTGGGCAAGGGGCCTGGCTCTCTAGTAGAGGTTTGTGGAAGTGGGCAGCTCTATAAGCAAGAAACCCACGCATGGGTTATAGGTTAGGCAGATCTGACACAGAACTGTGCAGTGTCTCCATGTAGAGAAGGGTCTGGAGGCCTAGGCTTAGCCGAGACTCAGCTGTGGGACCAGGCCCCTCAGAAAAGAGATGGTGAGATTAGTGGAGGAATAGCATGGAAGAGGGGGGAGAAAATCGTCCTGTTGTCTTCCAGACTTTCCAGACCCCACAGAGGAGATTGCTCCTCTTTGAGGTGCCCTCCTGCAAGGGGAACTTGGACCAACCACAGGGATGACGACAAGGCCGAATTTGGATCCCATGAAGAATGGTTGAATGCACCGAGGTTTTTTAATGTGAAGCTCAGAGAGGTGTGAGGGATTATGAAGACAGCCTTGAGATATTTGATGGGTTTGTTTTCTGTTGCACTGATGGGGAGACCTAGGGCTGATCCAATGGAGAGAGATTCCAGGGAGACAGATGGAGGCTCAATGAAACTTTGCAACACTCAGAGCTGCCTCAAGAGATGGTGAGCTCCCCATCCCTGGAAGCATGCAAGCTGAAGCTGGAGAGTCACCTGGGCAAGATGCTGTAAAAGGGATCTGTCACCACACGCAGGGGGAGGGGACTGGACCATTGCCCATCCTGCATATTTCCAACCAAAAAGGACCCCACTCACCCTTCCTTGCTCATGGCATGTCACCAAAGCGAGACCATGTAGGAGCCGGTCATCCCAGGGAAATGGAAGGCAGACGACGGTCGGCTTAGGACTATAAGAGGGGCCCCTGTCTCGGAGGTTGAGGGTGTCCCCCTGTGTTCCAGGTTCTTCATGTGGAGGTTTGTGAGCACCCTGCGTGTGACGGACGTCCTGAATGACAGCTACTCCTGGCCTCTGCTCGTGTACATGGGCGCCAGCTGTGTGTACCCCCTCGCATCCAGCTGTGCACACACCTTCAGCTCCATGTCCAGGAACGCCCGGCACATCTGTTACTTCCTGGACTACGGCGCCGTCAACCTCTTCAGCCTGGGTACGTCAGGCGCTGCTCTTGTCTCCTCTTCCCTGGGACTGAACCACCTGCATCTTCCCCTGGGAGCTGGGGTCACCATGAGGCTCTGGTGGGCTTCCGGAAGAGTCACCGCAATGCCAGTGCCCCTGCCCGGGTGCCTGATGAGTGTTTTATAAGAAACTTGTCCAAAGGCCTTCTGGCAAATATTTAACAACTGGCTCTCTGTGGACAAAAGTCCCGGTCCGTGGTGTTGGCAGGTTTGCTGTGGTGTAAATACTCCTGCCACGGCCGGCTTCAAGCCGACAACATCACTGAACACAGGGCTGGGGAGAGATGCATGGCAGGTCCCCATTACGTAGCAATTCCTCTGTACAGATACAGCGGATGCATTGACTGAACAGTTGTTACTCTTGTTAATATGATGGATAGCATTGTAAGTTTATGTCATTCAATTTTTTTTTTATAAATTTTATGTATGTATGTATGTATGTATGTATTGGCTGCGTCAGGTCTTCCTTGCTGTGTGCAGGCTTTCTCTACTTGCGGCGAGCGGGGGTTACTCTTCGTTGTGGTGCACAGGCTTCTCATTGCAGTGGCTTCTTTTGTAGTGGAGCACACGCTCCAGGCGTGCGGGCTTCAGTAGCTGTGGCATGTGGGCTCAGTAGTTGTGGCCCGTGGGCTCTAGAGCGCAGGCTCAGTAGTTGTGGTGCACGGGCTTAGTTGCTCTGCGGCATGTGGGATCTTCCCGGACCAGGGCTCGAACCCGTGTCCCCTGCATTGGCAGGTGGATTCTCAACCGCTGCGCCATCAGGGAAGCCGTGTCATTCAATTTTTAATGATGGCTGTGTTTAACAATTGGCTTGCGAGTTCTCTGACGCTAATGATCTGCTGTCACAGGCCAGGGTGAGCCAACCCCACTCATCAGTGCTGGCCTCTGTTGTGCCCCGCAGAGAAGGGGGTGGTCACAGACCCCATCGGTCTGGAGGCTTGTAGGGGTTAGAGCTGCAGGGATAGAGTGAGGGGAGGTGGGAGGTTGACACCCTCTCCTCCTGTCTCCTCTCCTCTCCCCCAGTTGTGGGCATCCCAGCTCTAGCCGCTTCCTCCCACCTGGTCCTGCTCCAGGTGTGAAAGCAAAGTCACCGTCTTCCCTTTGCCCAAGAGGGTGTGTGAGGAACCTACCTCCAACCTGTTCTCCCGCCCCTCTCCCTCTATCTTCACTAGTAACACACACGTGCATACATACACACCAACATACATACATAGACAAACATAGACACACACGCACACACACACACACGAGTCTCTACATGCTCACCAGTCCTCAGTGCTCTGCTGCCCAGTCCCCACTGTTCACTAAAACTCTGGTTGCCGAGGCCCCAGCCTCCTCCTGGCTCACAGGATCCACGCAGGCCCCGTGGGCTCTCTCTCCAGCCTTTGATGCAGGGGCACCCCTGTGCTCCTCAAACCTCCCCCGCTTCCTCTGGCCCCTGTTACATCACTCCCTCCTAGTTTTCCTCCCACCCATTCACATGCTCATCCTGCTTGGCCAGTTCCCCTTCCTCCATCCCCCCATGGGTGCGCAAGCTGGGAGTCCATTCTGGGGCCTCTGCTCTTCCGTGGTCAGGCTCCCTGGGAGATCTCTGCGCCCACACCATCCCCCAACACCTCTGGGGGACACTTCCAAACCCCATCTCTAGTAAACTGCTCACCCAAGCTCCACTCCACATCCAGCCCTGGGACCGAGACTGTCTACATCCTCCCTGCCCCAGCCCTTGCATCTACTCCCCTTCGAGTCAGAAATCTATGAATAATCAAGTTCCCCCTGCCTCTCACTCGCCACCCATCCCACTTCACCATCCTGTCTAATCGGTTGGCAAACTCAGTTGAGTTTCTCCTACATACTTTTCAAATCGGCCGTGCCCCCATTGGCTTGACTCAGTCCCTCACACCTCTCCCCTGGGCTTCACCCAGCTGCCCTGCGGGGTTTCCTCCAGGCCTTCTGACCACGGCACTCCTCCCACTTAAACTTTTCCAAGTTCCCGGTTACCTGGGATGAAGTCCAAACTCCTTAACCTGGCAGCTTCCATCACCCTCGATCGCCTGCCCCAGACTCATTTATGATAAGGGCAAGCGTTTCGGAGTTATCACGGCAGGCTCCATGCCGAGCACCCGACCCACATCCCACATCACCAAGGGGTGGCATAACGCGGGGCTTAGCGGCCTAACTGCACCACCCCTTAATACTTATATGCTCTTAGGCAAGATACAGTTGGCATAGTATGTTCCTCATGGGAGTGTTATAAAGATTAAATGGGTTTTGTAAATGAAGCGTGTCGGACAGTGCCTGACACTTAGTAAGCAACAGAAGGTAAGCGATTACCACGATTACCTAGTTAACCCTGACAGCAGGCCCCTGAGGTGGGGACCATCATTATACCCACACTACAGGCGAGAACACTAAAGGTAAGTTACCCGGGTCACGCAGCTTGTAAATGGCAGAGCCAGGGCCTGGGAGCCTCAGGGCCCCTGCCTGTGGCTTCCTCCAAGTCCCCGGGCCTGGATCCACCTCCGTGGAGCTCTGTCTGATTCCTTCATTTCTGCTCCACACTGGGAACAACTCCCTGAGGACAGCCATGTGTCTTTCACATCTGGTTTTCCAGTCCGTAGCCCAGAGCCTGACATGGGGGTGTTCAGTAAACCTGGAAGGCAGGTCTAGTCAGTCGAGAGAGCCTGTGGGATCCACCTGGGACTCCCTTGTCTGCAGCCATCTCTCCTCCTCCCCGACCCCGTGGAAACCCTCAATCCCTGGAGGGTGGCGTTTGCTCCGCTTCCTCCCCGATGTGCAGCTGTTCCCCTCCCTCTTGGACCTCCCGCGCACTTTCACTAGGCTTTGACCATCTTAATCCCCTGCTCAGAAACCTTCGGTGGGCCCCCTATTGCCTGAAAGGGGACGTTCACTTTCCTCAGTCTGGCATCCCAAGGTGTCTTCTGGTCCTGCTCCCTGGAAAGCCGTCCCTGCCCTCAGGCACCCGTAAGAATCCCCCATCTTCCAAGGATGCTTCCAAGGTCAGCCGCTTGGCTGCATGCGTGCCCATCCTGAACGTCCACCTCACCCTGGAACCCGCCTGGAGGCACTCACCAGTTTCCCTTTCCACTGCGCTTTTTGGCAGGGACTGAGTCTCCTTCGCTCTTATATCACCCATGGAGCTCGGCCCCAGCCAATAGACCCAGAACAGATGCATCCTGGTCCACATGGGAGCTTCCCCATGGTATCAGGCTGAGGCAAGAATCTGTCCCCCTGGAGGCAGTTCCAGCTGAAATCTCACAGGTAGCCTGCAGGAGTGGGGAGCGTTGTACCAGGAGTAGTGATTCTTGGCCCTTTCTGCCTGTATGACCCTGGGCACATCCCTGGGCTTCACTAGATTTCACCAGTCACATGGGATCAAAGGCAGAGGTTGAACCTGCATGGCCTGAGTTCAGCCTTGAACTAGCATTCCAGGGTTCTTTGTTTTTGGATAACAGGTGTCCTTAGGCCTGATCTTAGGCTCTGGGCTGACAGGCCTGCAGCTGCCTCTCTCAAAAGGGACCTCAGCAGGTGAGGGTGTCTGGGGAGGCCATCTGGTCCAGGCTCCTGGACATATCTGTCCCCTTTGAAAAGGACAGTGATCTCCCCTGTTCTTTCAAACAAAAGCTGCAGCAGACAGGTCTCTAAAAGGGCCTTCAGTAAGCCTTCTCTCACAGACTCCAAAACCTAAAACAAAACAAAATGCTGAGATGCTAGCATCTCACGCCCAGCCTCTCAGCTGGCCAGTCCCCCAGCCCGCTGATATGACACACCTCGCCTCAGCAAGGGCCCTCCCTCATCCCACCCCCCGCTTCCCTGCAGCCTTGATCGTTCCACAGGGGACACCCATATCATCAGGCAGGTGAGATGTGCACACTCAGAGCAAAGCTGAGCGCACTGGGGTGTCATCGTGGACCATAGTTAACAGCAGGGACTGTTGCTGAACTGCCTGCGTTTGAAGCTTGGCTTTGCTGCTTTCTAGCTGTGCGCCCCTGGGAGGCTTACTAAACCTCTCTGTGCCTCCATTTCCTCATCTGTAAAATGAGGATAAGTGCAGGATTGATGTCAGAGGGTGGTTGTAAAGTTTATGTGAGTTAATGCATGTCAAGCCCTTGGAGCAGTGCTGGGCTCACAGAACATTCTCATGCTGGGGGGGTGATGCGTGATGGCATAAGCAAGGGGGGAGCGGCAGGACTGCTCATGGTCTGTGGGGATGATGGGGGGCTCAGCCAGATGTAGGGGCATTGGTCTTCCCAAGGAGTCCGGACAGTGCTGAGTCCTGGCTTATTGCCCAAGGCTGGTTTTTCTTCCCAGGCTCGGCCATCGCCTACTCTGCCTATGTGTTCCCGGACGCGCTGGTGAACACCGTCTTCCACGACTACTACGTGGCCCTGGCTGTGCTGAACACCATCATTAGCACCGGCCTCTCCTGCTATTCCAGGTACCCGGCTGCTCTGTCTCAGATGGGATGGGGTTGGGGGCGGCACAGAGCACGCAGCTCCCTGGACTGTTGGAGGGGACAGTGGAAAAGATGCTCGGGAACCTGGGACTCAGTTCCAGATGGACTTCCAGTGGCCGGGCAGGACCAGCTTCACAGGCACACACCTGTGCAGGCGCCCAGGGCCCTGTGAGCAACAAGGCTCCACCCTTGGTTTAATTCCCTGCTGTTGTTGTTTCGAAACACTTAATGAGTTTTGAACAAGGGGGTCTCCCTACTTTCCTTCTGCCCTGGGCTCTACAAGTTATGTAGCTTGTCCTGTTGCTGAACAAGTCACCTACCCTCCTTGAACCTCAGTTTGCTCATCTATAAAATGGGGTCAAGGGAGTTCCCTGGCGGTCCAGTGGTTAGGACTTGGTGTTTTCACTGCTGTGGCCCAGGGTCAACCCCTGGTTGGGGAACTGAGATCCTGCAAGCTGTGTGGCGTGACCAAAAAAAAAAAAAGTGGGGTCAACACAGCTACCTTGTGAGACGGATGTAAGGATTAATTATGGGTAATGTATCCAGAACACCTAACACAAGCCTGGCCCATAGGAGGTGCCCCATAAGTGGGCCATCTGCTAATAGGGACAGAGGGGGCCGGCTTCTTGATAGAGGCACACCTCGGAGATACTGCAGGTTCGGTTCCAGACAACCGCAATAAAGCCAACATCACAATAAGGCAAGTCACACAAACTTTTTGGTTTCCCAGTGCGTATAAAAGTTATATTTACACTATAGCCTATTACGTGTGCAATAGCATTATGTCTAAAGAAACAATGTGCACACCTTTATTAAAAAATACCTTATTGGGCTTCCCTGGTGGCGCAGTGGTTGAGAGTCCGCCTGCCGATGCAGGGGACACGGGTTCGTGCCCCGGTCCGGGAAGATCCCACATGCCGCAGAGCGGCTGAGCCTGTGAGCCATGGCCGCTGAGCCTGCGCGTCCGGAGCCCGTGCTCCGCAACGGGAGAGGCCACAACAGTGAGAGGCCCGTGTACCGCAAAAAAACAAAAAAATAAAAAACTTTATTGCTAAAAATGTTATCATCTGACAACACAGTGTTGCCACAAACCTTCAATTTGCAAAAACCACAATAAAGCAAAGTGCAATAAAACAAGATATGCCTGTCTGTGTGGTGGGTGATGGATGATATTCAAATGTCCAACACATCCCCAGGGGAAGACCGGTGGCCATGAGTCATGCCCAGCTCACTGGCTCTTATTCCTTCTATTTTTTTCCTTCCACTCAAGGAAGCTCATTGGAGTATGAGTACAAGAGGCATATTTTAGGATAACTACTCTAGTTTATTCAGCTCTTGGCATAAAACTGAACTACCCGAAATTACTTGGGAAACCTCTGGAATGGTGGTGTTGGGGTAACATCCCTGTGTAGATGGTGCTGGGAGCTGGGGGCCTTTCATGGTGGGTTAGGAAGAGCGCCAAGGAAGGCTGGCGGTCACCCCTGGCCATCTGTCCCCCTACCCGCGACTCCACTGAGCCAGTCTGAGTCTTCCAGAATAGACTGCTGCTGGCCTCATAGAATTCGTATTCCTGGCAGCCGCCACCTCTTCCCTCCCCAGGAGAAAACAGGGAGGGAGAGGTATGCTTCTGCAAATTCCCCGCAATGATTTTGGCTCCAGCTTTCTCTGGGTGACACTTTGGTTTTGTGGGATCCAGAGGTAGGCAAGTTCCCCAAACCTGACAGGTTGGTTTTCTTTAAAAACCAAAGGATAGAGCCTTAAACAGCATCGGGGATGCTTGTCCCAACTTGCCTTCCACTTACCTGTCCTGAGGCAGGTGGTGGGAAGCACAGAGCCGCTTGCCATGGGGGTGAGTCTCATTTCCAGGCTCAGTCTCAAGACTGAGCTTTGTGTTGCTTCGTCCCTGGGGTGGGAGTGGGGGGTAAACTCCCCCTTCCCTCTTCCTGGATATCAGAGCGCCCCTCCAGCTGTGAGGAGATAGGGTCTGCCCAGAGGGTAGAAAACTGAATCAGACATCATGGGGTGTTATTATTTCCTTTTCCCCCAATTCTTCAAGGGCTCTGGCGATTAAAAGCTCTTTCTGAAGCGCAACCTCTGTGCCAGGCCAGAGCTGTGAGGGCTGCCACGGGTAGGGGAGAGGAGGAGATCGGGACCCTGCCTCGGGTGAGACAAGGTGTAACATACATAGGAAAGTAACACTGATGCTAAAACAGCCCAAGAGAGATGAAGCGTGGCCTGGAGGCACAGTGTCTGGATGTGAGGGCTCACCGACAGGCCTGGGCCAAAGACACACCTGGATCAGGTCCTTGGACGAGCCACTGTCCTGCCTGCTTAGCTTCTGCGGGGCTGTGTGGCTTTGCTGTTGCGAACTTAGGATCAGAGGGAGGCGAGCACTGCGGACGGGTGGGGCAGGTGGGCTTCATGGGTGGAAGAAACAGTCCCGCCATTCATGATCCAGGACTGCTTTCCCATGAACTCCCAATGCCAATTCTTGGAACTTTTTTTTTTTAATCTTCCTGAATCACCTATAAGCCATGAGGGTATATTGTTTTCTTCTAGCCAGGAGTCCTCCCTGATTGTTCGGGTACAATGAATGGGTCTTTTTTGGTTTCTTTTTAATTTATTAATTTTGGCTGCGTTGGATCTTCGTTGCTGCGCACGGGCTTTCTCTAGTTGTGGCGAGCGGGGGCTACTCTTTGCTGCGGTGCGCGGGCTTCTCATTGCGGTGGCTTCTCTTGTTGCAGAACTCGGGCTCTAGGCGTGCGGGCTTCAGTAGTTGTGGCTCGTGGGTTCAGTAGCTACAGCATGCGGGCCCTAGAGAGTGTGGGCTTCAGTAGTTGTGGTGTGCAGGCTCAGTAGTTGTGGCTCACGGGCTCTAGAGCGCAGGCTCAGTAGTTGTGGCGCACGGGCTTAGTTGCTCCGCGGCATGTGGGATCTTCCCGGACCAGGGCTCGAACCCATGTCCCCTGCATTGGCAGGCGGATTCTTAACCACTGTGCCACCAGGGAAGTCCCTGAATGGGTCTTTTGGATGTGACATGCCTGGAACCTTTAGACAAACTTGTTTGGCAGGGCAGCTTGGCCAGGAATCTCTTGCATGTCCATTTGGGGCTTCTCCCTTGTCAATGAAATGGATTGTTTCTGTTTATGGGGCACATCTGTGGCTGTTTCATCCATCCATCTATCCATCCATCTACCTACCTATCCATCTACCCACCCACCCATTCATCCATCCACCCGTTCATCATCCATCCACCTATTCATCCATCCATCCATGCTTCCATCCAGCTACCCACCCACCCATCCATCCATCTACCCAGCCATCTATTCATCCACCCATCCACTTATTCAGTTTATCCACCCATCCACCCACCCATCCATCCATCCATCTATCCACCCACCCATTCATGCATTGATCTACCCACCCAGCCACCCATCCTTCCATCCTTCCATCAATGCTTCCAACCATCCTTCCATCAATGCTTCCAACCAACCACTCAACATTCCTTAAATGCCTGCCATGCTCCAAGTGTCATGTTGAGACCTGGGAAGACAGGGATGAGTGAGGCTCAGTCCTCGTCCTCAGAGAGTGCCCCATGCAGTATGAGAAGCAGACTGCAGACCCTCAAAAAGTCCAGATGGAGTCATCGTTTCCTTTAAAGGCCAGAGGAAAAGGCTTTCAGTGTGTAGCATTACAGGGTATAACGTAAGCAAATAATGATAATACAAAATGACACCTGCTTGGATTCCCAGGCTTCTGCAAAGTGGCCTTAGGAATGAGTGTTGAGGAAGGTCGAACACGTTAGCTGGAGAGGAGGGAAGGGCCTTTTGGACAGAGCCAACAGCCTGGACAAGGGCGAGGGCCTGGAGAGGATGGGATGGCATTGGGAGGCAACAAGGAGCTTCAGAGTTGCCAGAGCCTGTGGGGCTGGAAGCGGGGAGAGAAGCTAGAGGGGGGCTAGAGAGAGGCGGGGGAAATGGAAGCACCTCGTGTGTCCTAAAGAGGACTGGCCCTGTCCTCGTGAAGGACAGTCAACTTCCTAGGAAGACAATTCTGTGGGCTCAGCTCCCGTGCCCTGCGGGGCTTAAGTGGGGGCTTGGGGGACAGAAAGGGAGAGAGGGGCAATCGCCACATGCTGAGAGTCAAGGATAGAGTGGGATGTCCCTCTGTGGGCCCGTCCGGCCTCCTTCGCATCCTGTCCGCTCTCCTTTCCATGTGTCCGTGGATCCCTGCTCTTACAAGGCCCGTCCCCTTTGTTTTCATTCTCTGTCTTTGTCTTCAGTGTCTGAGGAGTGAGGAAGGGGACTCGTGTGTGCGGAGAGGCTCTGGCCCTGATTAACTTCAAGAGAAGCAGGTGGAGGAGGGCGAGGGCCGTCTGGGGTCCCGATTTCACAGACTTGCTGTGCTGCCTCTGGCCGATCACGGCCTTTAAACAGGGACATCTAAGAAGATGTCCCCTGGGTTCCTTCTGGTGTGGGCATTCTATGATGCTCCCTTCAGCGCCCCTTCCAAGCTTTCTCTCCTTGCCTTCTTCTCTACCCCCCAAGCCCACGTCTGCCTCCCCTCTCCCGCTCTATCCGTCCGTGGTATGGCCGGGAGTGGCTGAGAACCACCTCCTTCCCTGAGCAGCAGACCGTGGAGCTCAGGAGTCATGCTTTAGTTATCCACATGCTTCCCAGAGTAGCATGGTCCTACTGGCGTTCATTCCCTTACGATACATGTCCATTAGGTAAAGTCCACCCAGGGAGACGTGGACTCCCCCAACTGGTCTCTCGATCCTTATCATGGAATTCAGTTCAAAGGAACACGTTCCAGAAAACCGCTTTCTTGTTCTGCAGCATTTGAAGGGGGCAATGACAGAACGGGTGACCTCTCTGTGGCTCTCGGAGCCAGGTGAGGGTGACAGAGACCCTGCCTGCTCATACCCGCTGACAGCCCGAAAGCCCAGGAAGGCACCACCACTCTCTCAGGAATGTTAGTTACACAGTGTTTGCTGTTCACCACGAGTCACTGCACGCACTTTTCTGTTCATCCATTCAAAGCATCCAACCGTTGGACACATCCTTGCTCAGTGAAATGCCTTGTGGTCGGTGCTGTGAGGGAGAGATGAATTTTCATCCTTGGTGGATAGTGAGCTGTGCTGTGAGAGCCTTGCCGTGGCAGTGCTGTCGTGGCAGCTCAGAGAGGCATGGGGCAGGCCTGGAAGGGGGTTTGGGGGTCAGAGCTGGAGACAGGAGGCTTAGCAGACAGTGGTTCTCAGATACATCTGGAGGTCAGAGGGCTCAGTCAGATGACAGGGTGCTGCTAGGGCCAGGGGCCAGCACGTGGAAATGTCCACATTCCTGCTATGTCACCCACACAACAACCAAACTACCATAACACCCGCCCCCAACACACATACAGACACACCTCTGCAACAGTATGATGTTTCCAAAGGCCCACTTCTTTCAAGCACTAGTTCCAGAATTCACCTGCAAACCTTTCCAGCTTTGTGGCAACAAGAATTTATCAGGTTTCAGAATAGACTGGTATTGTATCAACCCTCTCTTGCTGGAGGCTTCTCCCCAAATCCAGTGTTTCCTGCCCACCTGGTTCTAGGCAGAGGAGGCCTGGCTCCCTGACTCCCAGCTCTGGGGTGCAGGGATTGCCTTACCAGGCGAGGCTTTGGAGACTTTGTGGTGTGGGGTGCTTTGCAGGATGCTGTGGCTCCCGTCCCTCTCGGAATCTCTGGCTGTGGCGACACCCTGTGGCCTGATTTGGAATTTTACCTTGGTAGTGGGAGCCGCCCCCCCCCCCCCCACACACACACACTCCGCCTCTGTGGCTGCTGGCCCTTCTGCCTCTTATTCTTTGTTGCTGTCTCTCGTCTGTTCTGCATTTTCTCCTTTTTCCCTCTGTAGACTCGGCTTTGCAGCTGGAGAGGCTGGTTCGTTTGCCCTTGGGGAAGTACTTTATCAGGCCGGGCGAAATGTCTCAAGTTGCAGGAAATCCATGGTTTGGGGGATGGCCCTCGTCAGCCAGAGCCAGCCTTCTTCCTGTGTAAGTGGCCGCAGAAAGAGCGTGCTTTAATAGCGAGTCTCTTTGCACCCAGAGGTGATAGGCGGTGGCAGTGCATGGGGAGAGAGGGAGTGGGCTTGCCGTGGTTGGACAGGGTCTGCCAGCGTGGACTGAGAAGGCTATCGAGATGGGTCCTGGTTCCTGGGGCAGCGGGAGTGTGTTCCGATTGCCTCCTGGGGCAGAGGGGTGTCTGTAAGGTAAGGACAGAGGCTGGGTAGTGGTCAGATGCCTGCTCTCCCTGCACGAGGGGAGAGGGTGGGAAGCCAGCCAGATGGCCCTGGCTGTAAATCCTAGCTTTGCCTCTTATTAGCTCCTGTGATTTTAGGCAAATCACGCAGAACTCACCTGGTCCCTCCTGTTCCTATTTTCTGGTACGACGTAGCTACAGGATGGGGATGGGGACAGGATGGCTCCTACAACACACGTTCTTTTTAAAAGCTGCCATTTCGTGAGTGCTACTCTGTGCTGTGCACAGCTGTAAGTTCCTTGCGAGCATCATTTTATCAAACCCTTGCAACAATCCCTTGTAGGGATTCTGTTGTTGTCCCTATGTTACACATGAGGATTTGGGGGCACACAAGGGTTACATCACCTGCTGGATGACATGGTCACAAAGGGCGGGGACAGGATCAGACTCAGGGTGTCTGCCAGATCGTGACCCTGTGCAGCCTCACCAATCCCGGGGTTTGTGGTTCCTTCCAAGGCTGGGGTTCTGTTCTGGGGGACGGTGAATTGAGGTCCCTTATTTCTCCCCCTCCTTCTTGAACTTCTCTTCCATCTCTGCCCAGTGTCCACAGGGTCAGGAAAGAAGGAGGGACATGCCCATGGGCTGGAGCAAAGTTGGAGCTGATCTCTGGAGGTTTTGGGGCTTCTCAGGGTCCACAGTGGCCGCCTCTTACCCAGAACAGGGATCCCCAGGCTGGGCTGCCCTGAGAGCTGGACGGCACACAGCAGCCTGGCGATGTCATGTCCTCAGACACGATTCTGAGCTGGACGCTGGGGATGGAGATCTGAGCAGACCCAGCTCTGCCCTCGAGGAGAGTTCCCCGACCACTCAGGAGGCAGATGTGGGTGTCTCTGCCATTTTCCATGCCAAAGGATGTGGGCACGGTGGGGCTTGTAGTCAGGTGACTGCACTGGCTCGTAGGGGACGTGAATAACCTGGAGGGGGAGATGGGCCTGGGCTGCAGGGGCAGCAGTCTATGTTTGGTGGAGAAGGGGCAGGCCAGTGGGCTGGGACGGGTATCTGGGGAGCAGAGGTGAAGAGCAGTGGCGGGACATAGACTCCATCCCCGCTGGAGAGTGCTATGAGGGGCAGAACTGTCGACGGGGGGCTGAGATGGCCCCAGCGCCTCCCTCATCTTATGGGCTGCACTAGAACAGCTACGCCACGAGCCACGGCGCCCGGGCTTTGCACACCACCTTTGGGGGTCCTCTGGCCTCGCAGCCCTGTGGGCACCAAGGGAGGATCCATCCCCCACAATACGCTGTGCTGCTGAAGCGGGTACCTGCCCTGCCTCCCGGCCCAGCCTGGGCGTGTGAGCTCTCCCTCGCTCGAGCCCCAGTTCAGGGCTGTGGTTTCATGTGGAGCTTCTCTTTACCCCTCCCCTCCCAGTATCCAGCCTGCCATCTGTGCTACCCGGCTCCGCACACCCTCAGCTGCTGCCCCCTCCTCAGGCTGGGCCCAAGCCAGCTGAGGCCCCATCATGTTCCATCCAGGAGGAGCTGCCTGTCTTTGCCACAGTCAGCACCACTCATTTTAATGCTGGCTTCATCTGTCTTGGAACCGGAGGCAGGTGGGGGTGATGATGAAAGAGAGAAGGAAGGGCCATGCTTACTCAGTTTCCCCAGCCCAGTATCCCTGTGTGTGGTATTAAATATTCCAGAAATCTCTTAAGTAATTAAACACCTAATTGTACCCAGGGCTTCTGCAGGTAATCAGCTGGCATCTCTGACTAATTAAGCATCTCAACCTTCGCAGAGGTGCTCGTCCCAGGAGCCTCTCGGGATGCTGGGAGATGGTTGCCCCCTCCCCGCCCACCCTGAGCTCTTTCCACATCTGAGACTGAGCCATTCCCATCAGGGTGGGAGAAGTGGAGAGCGCTGGGGGAGAAGCTGCTGGCCGTAGGAGGAGCTTGTGCAAAAATGCTTGTCCTTCGTGGGTTACTCGCGCTTGGTTATTTTTAATGTGCATGTATGTGTTATTTACTGAAACTCTTTTTTCATTCTCATTTCTCCCCCCTTTTCTTCCCTGATTTAGGTTTCTTGAGGTCCAGAAGCCCAGGCTCTGTAAGATGCTTCGTGTCCTGGCCTTCGCTTATCCCTACACCTGGGACTCCCTTCCCATCTTCTCCAGGGTAAGGGCCCGGCTCCAACCCCTCTCTGCCTGTTGGCAGCATCAGGGAATCAATTGTGTCCTGAGCTCTGGGGGTCAGAGCGCCGTCCTGGTCATAGTGGGACACACAAGAGTAGAGTCCCAGGTGCTCCTTTTTTTTTTTTTTAATAAGTTTATTTAATTTATTTATTTTTGGCTGCATTGGGTCTTCCTTGCTGCGCGTGGGCTTTCTCTAGCTGTGGTGAGCCGGGGCTACTCTTCATTGCAGTACGCGGGCTTCTCATTGCAGTGGCTTCCCTTGTTGCAGAGCATGGGCTCTAGGCTCACGGGCTTCGGTAGTTGTGGCACGCGGGCTTAGCAGTTGTAGCTAGCAGGCTCTAGAGCGCAGGCTCAGTAGTTGTGGCGCATGGGCTTAGTTGCTCTGCAGCACGTGGGATCTTCCCGGACCAGGGTTCGAACCCGTGTCCCCTGCATTGGCAGGCGGATTCTTAACCACTGCACCACTAGGGAAGCCCCCCCGCCCCAGATGCTCCTTTAATGGCACTTGCAGACTAGTTAAGAGACGGCATGAACACAGAGGCCCTGATGAACGTAGGAGATGCACCAGTGGCCAGTGCTGACTGGGGGCTCAGGAGCAATCGCAGAGGGCTGGGCAGGGGAGGCAGCCTGGGGTTCAGTAGAGTGACCAGGAGAGCGGGCTCTGGAGGCAAATCTGTAATATTTACTCACTGCAAGACATTGGACGAGTTATCTTCCACCTCTGTGTCTTGATTTCCCTCATCTGTAAAATGGCCTGGTAATAACACCTCCTTTTGTCAGGCTGTGGGGAGGATTATATGAGACAATGTGTAAAGTGCTAGCTGGTGGTGAGAGTCCAGTAAATGCAGTGTTATATATTATCATCAATTAACATAGTAGTAGTAGTGAAGGAAAATGTATGAATGAAGGTCTTAAAGGATAGATGGGAATTAGATGGAGAACACAAAGGAAGAGGGTGTAGAAGGAAAGGCAAGAAGGGGGAAAGTTCAAATCCCAGTCCCACTGCTCACTGGCTGTGTGACCCTAGGCAATGAACAGAAGCTCTCTGAGCCTTGGTTTCCTCATCTTTTTTTTTTTTAAATTTTTTATAAATTTATTTTATTTATTTATTTTTGGCTGTGTTGGGTCTTCGTTGCTGTGCGCGGGCTTTCTCTAGTTGCAGCGAGCCAGGGCTGCTCTTTGTTGCGGTGCGCAGGCTTCTTATCACAGTGGCTTCTCTTGCTGCAGAGCACGGGCTCTAGTCGCCCGGGCTTCAGTAGTTGTGGCACGCAGGCTCAGTAGTTGTGGCACACGGGCTGAGTTGCTCCGCGGCATGTGGGATCTTCCCGGACCAGGGCTCGAACCTGTGTCCCTTGCATCGGCAGGCGGATTCTTAACCACTGAGCCACCAGGGAAGCCCTCCTCATCTTTAAATGAGGCTGACATCCTGTCCTTCACAGGGGGTAGAGGAGAATAATCAAATAAACAGAACTGATGGGCTCAGCAATGCCAAGCCCAGGCCCAGTGGGTGGAGTTCCCCTCCCAGAGGCAGCGTAAGGGTCTGCTGCATGAGGCCAGGATGGCAGGGCCCAGGGATAAAGGAGAGGGGTCGAGCTGGCTTCATTAGCTGAGGCACTGAGCGTGTGCTCCTGCTGAGTTCATGTGGGCCTGGAGGGGACCCAGAGATGGGGATGCAGCCCATTTCCTTGAATCCTTCTTCGAGGACACAGACCACACACAGGAAACCAGAGCAAAGAACAAGCCGGTCCCACAAGGCCGCCAAAGCATACAGCACAAGTTCTTGCTATTATGAGCGCTGGGTGCTCCTGGCACTGCACCAGCCAGTGGGCAGCAGGGGAGGGGAGGGCTTACCCTAAATGGTGATGTGGCTGAGCACATAGGTTCTGGAATCAGCCTGACTTCACCGTTAGTTAGTGGTTTGCAAGTCACCCTCCAGCCCAGTTTCCTCATCTGTAAAATGGGGAGAAGAGTGTCTGCCTTGTGGTCATTGCTGAGGCTCTGATGAAGTGATGCACGTAAAAGGCCTGGCCTAGTGCCCTCCGTAGTAGTGGCTGCCACCGCTATTTATAACAACCGTACAAAAACCGTACTGAACTCCACACCAGGGTAATGTCCATAATTAATAGTTTGTGATGATTCAGAAGGCCTTCCAGGGATTTTTAGGCCTTAAAGCCTTAATTAGGAGCATCAATTCAGGGGATGTGCTGGTTAGAAGTGAGTTCAAGTGTGAATAGGCCATTTTTTATGATACTTACGTTTTAGCCCCAGGAAAAAAGTAGCGATATATCTAACTGGATTTTTCTTTTCCTTTAATTTTGTCTTCACTTCTGTTGTTTTCCTTTTCTTCCTTCCTTTCTTTCTTTCCTTTTTCTTTCTTTCTTTTTTTTTTTTTTTGGAATTAAATAATCCAAAGGCTCTCATGAGCATGCGGGGGATTAAAGTACAGTTGCCTTGGGTCTCAGTTGATCACACTCAGAACAGGAAGCCTGCTCACACAGTCCCTGCGAGTTCCCTTTCCAAGCCACAGAACTGGAGAGGGAACGGCCTTGGCCCACAGAGTCCACACATATGCGTGGGGATGTCTGCAGGCTTCCTCTCAAGACCTGACATACGTTCCTTCCTTCCTTCCTTCCTCTCTCTCTTTTTAAAAATTTTTACTTTATAATGAGTATAGTTGATTAACAATGTTGTGTTAGTTTCAGGTATACAACAAAGTGATTCAGTGAGACATATACATGTATCTATTCTTTTTCAAGTTCTTTTCCCATTTAGGTTATTATAGAATATTGAGTTCCCTGTGCTATATAGTATGTCCTTGTTGGTTATCTATTTTAAGACCTGACGTTTCTTTAAATACCTGCAGCTATTCCTCTTCCCTGGGGAGAGTGCACAGAACGAAGCCATCTTGTACCACCAGAAGCACATGGCCGTGACCCTCCTGGCCTCTTTTCTCTACTCCGCGCATCTGCCGGAGCGCCTGGCTCCTGGACGCTTCGACTACATCGGTGAGTGCCTGGTGGCCCCGATGCCCCTTGCCCTCCTGTCCAGGGAGGGTTCCCAATCCCTGACACCAGTGCACATAGTTGCAAAGAGAGGCCGGGGCAGGGAGAGAAGCAATTCTTCAGGAAGTTCTCCAGGCACAGACCAAGGTTAGTGAAATTGTAAGGTGACAGAGGCCAGGATGTACATAGCCAGTGGATGACCAGGGAGGATGGCGGAGGATGGAGAGGAGGTGGATCTAGGATTCTAAAGCATTTCCAGCAGGTATGGGGACAGGAGAGTCCCATTATTACCTAGAATGTGAAATCCCATTATTAAATGAACATGTAAGGCAGCCGTAAAGAGGAAGAGGGAAGACAGTACAGCTGGCTCTGAGAATACCGGCTGGCAGGGAGCTGTGCTGAGGAGAGGAAAGTGTCTTTGTCTCATTCAGGTGGGTACGATGGGGCCAGGAATTGTGGTAGAGCAGTGGTTCTCAGGTATGGCCCCTGGACCAGCAGTCTCAGCATCACCTGGGAACATGCAGATTCTCGGTTCCCAGCCCCCAGACATCCCGTGTCTCAGAAGCTGTATGATTCTCCAGGTGAGCCTGGGCTCACTCAAGTTACAGAAGCCATGTGGTGGAGAGGAGGTGTCGGAACCACAGGGGTTTACACCTGCTGGCAGGGTTCCTTCCTCTCTGTCTAGGGAAGTAGGTGGCACTGCGGAACGTGTCTCCTCCACCCTGGCTCTGGGACTGGCTGGAGGAGGGACCTTTGGGCCACTTCTGGTGAGGCTGATGAGAGCTCCTTAGATAAGCTGCCAATACCATGGGGATTCAGATCCTCACTCCCAGGTGGCGGGCAGGAACCTCGGTTCTCCCCAAGCCCATTTTGTCCATGGGTTTCCATCTTCTGCCCAAGACACGTGGCCAGATTTTTCTTTGTTTGCTCTGATTAGAGTTTCATCTCCTTTACTTCTTCTCTCCTGCCAGAAGGGATTACAGTGAGCAAAATACTTAGAGGGCAGATTTCAAAAAAGGAGGGAGATGAGAGGGCCAGGGGATTGGAACCTGCTTAAGGAACCTGCCCAGCACGTCCGCCGCTCCAGCTCCAGCCAGATGAAATAGAGGTGGTAGTGTGCGAAGTCTGGGTGGGGGGCCTCGTTTTGCCAGCTCTGGCTTCTTAATAACATTTTATTGACTCGCCTCTATCCTGTCCTCTTGGGCCTAGAGCAGAAAGACACTCCTATGGGGGGAAATTGGCCAGACGGGCAGTTAGTAACAGATCTTTAACAAAGGGTTTGGAAAGTTCTCCGCCCCTAAATAACAGTCAGTCAGATGCTGGGCTCCCTCTCCAACGCCCACAGGAAGTTCCTCCCTATTCCTGCCAGGAGGGATTGTTGAAATCACTCTTCCTGCTGCAGGCACATTTCACATCTGTTCGGTGCTCGTGGTTCTTCTGTCTTTTGATCTCCTGCCCTAACAGAGACAGGTTTGTGCCTCAGTTGGTGAGCACAGCTGATCACCTCCTTCTGCTTGGCCCTGTGTCCTTAGAGTACACGGCTCTTGCTGGATAAGGAACCACTTCGTTGCATCACACACAGATTTGGAAATTGGATACAGCCCAGTAGTATGGCTTGAGTGAGGCAGGGGTGGCCCCTCCAGGCACACTTCCTCCCTGGGGCATGCAGGCTGGAGTGCTGGCAGCTCCCTGCCCTAAGGAATTCATTGACCACCTACTCAACTCTCCTACATCCTCATTCCTGACTCTGTTCTTGTTCAGTTGGGCAGATGGCCAGGCTGGTCCCTTCTGTGGACACATTTATTGAATACTTACTCTGGGTCAAGTCCTGGGGGTACAACACTGAATTCTTTTTTTTTTTCTTTCTTTAACTGAAGGAGAATCTTTAACTCTTGTGTCGTATTAGCTAGGGCCGCCATAACAAAGAACCACAGACTGGGTGGCTGAAACAACAGCAATTTATTTTCCCATAATTCTGGAGGTTAGAAGTCTGAGATCAAGGGGATGGCAGGGTTGGTTTCTTCCAAGTCCTCTCTCCTTGGCTTGCCCATGGCCATCTCCATTTCTCTTCACATGGTCTCTCCTCTGTGTACGTGCATGTCTGCATCCTAATCTCCCCTTCTTAGAAGGACACCAATCAGAGTGGGTCCCACGCTAGTGACCTCATTTTAACTTATTTGTCTCTTAAAGACCTTATGTCCAAATATGGTCACATTCTAAGGTACTGGGGGTTGGGACTTTCAACATATGAATTTGGGAGGGGGAGATACAACTCAGCCCGTGAAACATGGTTTCTGCAGGCTGTCCCCCAAAGCAGTCCCCAGCCCTGGGCAATGGACTCCTTTTCTCACCAATCACCAAGTCAGCACATCCCTGCTCACTCCAACCACCCTGCACTGGACTCCCACCCTCTGGGGATGCATACATGGTGACTGGGGTCCTGTAAGTTATCAGAGAGGAAGAGCCCCTGGTTGTGTCTGGGATTAAGCAGCAGTGGGGAGAGGAGCACCTCATAAGAGGCCAACAGAAAATTTGGCTGGCTTCTCCTTTGGGATTGAAGTCAGAATCTGAGCTGATCAGTGACAGCTCTCAAGAGGTAACCTTTGGCAGAACTTTTTCATGTGAAAAACAGGACTGGTGGATAAGTTGTTTTAAAAATGGATTTGGTTTGCTCTGATGGCCCTTTTATTTTTCTCATATTACATTTTAAAAATAAATTTTTAAAGTATATATTATATATTACATAATACCCTAATTTCAAGTATATGATTCAATGATTTTTTAGTAAGTTTACCACACTGTACAACCATCACCATATAGGAGTTTTAGAACATTTTCATCACCCCAGTAAGATCCTCTGTGCCCATGTACCAACTCCCACCCCTGCCTGAAGCAACCACTACTCTATTTTCTGTCTCTGTGGATTTCCCTTTTCTGGACATTTGATATAAATGGAATCATACAATTTATGGTCTCTTGTATCTGGCTTCTTTCACACCACATAGTGTTTTTAGCATACATGCCATAGCATGTATCAATCCATTCCTGTTTTATTGCTGATCTTGGTGGTCTTTTGTGTGTTTGCTATAGGTCATAGTCACCAGCTGTTTCATGTGTGTGTGATCCTAGCCACACACATGCAGATGGAAGCCATCCTTCTGGACAAGACTCTAAGGAAGGAATGGCTCCTGGCCCACTCCAGGCCCCTGCTGTTCTCTCAGATAGCCGGAGCCATACTTCTGTGCCTCATCTTCAACCTCAGCAACATAATTTATTTCTCAGCTGCTCTGTATCGGATTCCTGAGCCAGAATTACATAAAAAAGAAACATAATGCAGACCATAAGCTTTTTGTGCCAAGTGTCAACATTAAGCTACAACTTCCTAACCACCATAAGCCAGTGTCAAGGTACCAGTGTATAGTGGCCTAAAATATTTATAATGGTTGGTGTCTTGGCATTTTTGAATGGATTCATGTCAATAAGGTATTGACATGGGGACATTTCTCTAGACGTGCATTGGTTCCGTATGTGTGGTTTTAAAAGGGGAACATGGGTTCAAGTAAGTCCTTATTCAGGCAAATCATTAATATTTCATTTAGTTTTTAATTTATTTAAAGTGAGTTCTCCAATCCTATTTAAACAATTGGATTAAGCATACCTCCCTTGTAGCTTTACTATGAAGTAGCTGGATTAAGCTTTACTACCCTCGTAGTGTTACTCTTGCAGAATGCAACGTGATTCATCTGATGAGTTTCATGTAACAAAGCCTCTCCCAAGAGCTCCCACAGTGGGAAGAGAATGAGCTGGAAAGGTCAGTAGGGGAACCTGAGAAAGAGTAAGTTGGGTCTGTGGGAGCCCTGGGGGCTGGGAAGGCAATTCCAGAATGAAGAAACCTGGCTTGGGGAGCGGTCTTCTTCCTTTCCCCACCTAGTGAAGGGAATGAATAGAAAGAGAGTCCTCTTTTCCTACAAGTACATTCTTTTTCACAATGCAAGGTTCCCATGTCACGATAGATTTGGATTTTCTTACAAGTCCACAGCCTGTGGCTAAGTGTTATGTGTTGTGTTTTGCTCTGTTTTCTTGTCACCAGTTTGATGCTGCCAAGTATTCCACAGCACAGGAAAAATGTGTTACCCAGTGGGCATTGGCTGTGCTTGTCTGTCACCTTTTAAGCCAATGACATCACGATATTTGGGGAGGTTATACATTTGATGTTGCTTCAGCATTTCATATATGCTGCTGAGTTCCGGGTTCACGTGCAGAGGATGCTAAAGACCTTGCCAAAGGGATGGAAACACGTGGTGAGCTTGTGACAAATGTAGATTCCCCAGGCAAATCAGGAGATGCTGCTTTACTGGTTTAAAATGTTGGTTTCCTGGAGACCATCTACACTGGAGAAAGTCCCCCAGGTGATTCTGAGTCAGGAGGGCCATGGGCCAAACTTGCAGAAACGCTGATGTCACAAACTCCAGAAGGTACTGAGCCTATCAGCTTTGTTGTGATTGGTCTAACTTTTAGCAACCCACCACCTAAGAATGTGTCTCCTGCTTTCTACTCTGTGGAGTATTACAAAACACTGAGTATTTTCTCATCTGTTGCATCACTAATTAAAGTTCACTGTTTCATGATGTTTTCGGAGAGTACAGAAATGCTGACACAAAACAGTTTTTAACAGAAGCCCATCACCCCCTGTTGTGCACTTGTCTGTTGACTTAAGGGGCCATCCATCACAATGCGGGATCCTCTTTTGCTGACTCAGGAGCACCCCCATATCTTAGTATACTGCCTCTATGGTTTACTGGCACAGACACTCGAATGGCCTTATAAATAGATCATCATCCAATCTTCTGAGGACAAGTAACAATTTACATTGGATGCGAGTGGTCAAGAAACATGATTTCATTCGTTTGATTATCTGTTTACTTCCTCTGGGGAAGGTAGGCTGATAAAATTATATGGGCTGGTAAATTTTGGGTACATTCTTTGCCAGCTGCATGACAAAATTTGTTTTTTTGGCAAGAGGCTGACATTGTTAGTGGAATCTTACTCCAGCAGGGTCTATGGGCTTCCATTTCATGTTATTGTAACTTCAGTCTTATGGTGGACAAAGGTACAAAGTTTAAATACTCCATTCTAGTAGTGCCAAAGGCATGAAGGCTTTTAAATTCTCTTGTTTATAGAGAGTAAAATAACGTTCTTCATTTAGCTCAGAAGTAGTTGAAAGATAACGGGTGACTAATTTGAAGGGCTTTTAGATTATTTAATTTAATCTTTGGTTACGTTGCTTTTTCAGCGTACCTAATGATGAAAATGAAATGTTAAATCAACAAAATAAGACCAGGTGTTTCATAACGCTTTTATAAGTTTGGTAAACTTAGTCCCATTGTATACTTTTGGACAGTGTTACAAATTAAAATTTTACAACAGTTTGCAGTACACTGATTTGGAAGCTTTTAATGTTGAGTGAGAATGGGTTCAAATATATTCATTATCATTAAGTATATTCATTATCATTAAGTATTATGAAGTCTAATGTGAGTATAGTTTTGCCTAAGCCATTCCGGAAATTACAAAGTTTGGCAGTGGGTCAGTTGAAACCTCACGGGGAAGATGTCTTTTAATGTAGCAGTTCTCACATTTTTTTCATGTCTCTTTAGAGATGTACATACACTTTAGAGATGTACCATATTCCCACTGCTGTCTCCAAAGGCTGTCCCACTGCTGTCTCCAAAGGGGAGCGACGGGGGAGAGAATTCCTGAAGAGATGTATTTCTTCCCCCTCCTCCTGCTTGAGAAACACTACTATAAAACTTGCCAGTCATTTCTGTTGTGATAAAACTCAAGATACGTTTGAATGAGGCCATCTAGTCAATTGCCCCAGAGTTTCATTTTCCTTTGCTCAGTTCTTAGAAAGGAACTCTCCCTCTTCTTTCTAAGGACATGAATTTGTCATTGTTGATTAGAATTAGAAGTGGGATGTTTAGAAGCCTTTTGAGTACAGAGTGATTTAAATATTTGGTCTGCTGCAATCTTTCTCAAAGTGTTTTTTGTGGAAGGAACTCAGCTCCCAGGAGATGTTCTGAGGAAGGCAGGGTGGGGAAGAATGATGCTGTTTTCGGATGCATTGGAGAAAACTTTCCTTTGGATCTGCTGTGTCCCAAATTTGTTGTGGGCATGGTACCCTTTTTATATGAAACAGCTATTAACACTGTATAACAACACTTTATAACATATTGTTGAATGCCAGCCTCTGATTTTCCAGTCGACAATCCATTATGGATGAAAAGGCAGAGACCTGTGTCCAAACTCAGAGATGTTCTTCCAACTTATACTAATGTCTGGTTTTCTTAAACTGTGTGGAAGAAAAAATAAAATAAAATGTATTTATTATAGGAAAGTCCTTCCGTTTCTCACTTGACTTGGTTATATTTCACCTACCCCACTGCAAACATGTTCATTCATCATGAGAAATAGATTCCTGTACGTGTGTTTTGTTAAGTCATTCAGTGAACATTTATTTAGTGCTTGGTATATATAGAACAAACACCGTCCTAGGAGTTGGGGATACAGAAGAGAACAAAACCCAAACCATCCTTCCCTCATGGAGCTGATGTTCTACATCAGTCAGTAGGACAAGAGATATAGATAAATTCAGATAATGGTAAGTGCTTAGAAAATAAGCCTGGGACTTCCTTAGTGGCGCAGTGATTTAGAATCCGCCTGCCAATGCAGGGGACACGGGTTCGAGCCCTGGTCCGGGAAGATCCCACATGCCGTGGAGCAACTAAGCCCACGCGCCACAACTGCCGAGCCTGCGCTCTAGAGCCCACGAGCCACAACTGCTGAGCCCGTGAGCCACACCTACTGAAGCCCGCACACCTAGAGCCTGTGCTCCGCAACAAAAGAAGCCCATGCACCGCACCGCAACGAAGAGTAGCCCCCGCTGGCTGCAACTAGAGAAAACCGCGTGCAGCAACAAAGAACCAACACAGCCAAAAATAAATAAATAAATAAATTTATAAAAAAAGAAAAGAAAAGAAGCCTGGTGAGGGACTAGGGAGGGGAGGAGTGGGGCAGCTGAGATAGGATGGGCACTCTGATAAACTGGTATTTGAGGAGAGACTGGTTGGGTGAAAAGGAGCCAACTTTGCCAGCATGTGGGGGAGAGTATTTCAGGTCCAGGTAGCTGTAAGTGCAAAGGCCCTAAGGCCAGTAAGGGTTTGTCTTATTGGAAGGATAGAAATCAGGCCACTCATTCCTGAAATGTATAGCTCCAGAAGACATCGGCATGACTCAGAGAATTATGAAATTTCTCCTGAATGTTCCTCCCGGGAGATTGCCCAAGGGGTTTTCCTATGGCCCCTTGGTATTTGTATGAATTCTTCAACTCTGTAATAAACGTACTTCAGCAAATGGTTGTCACACACACTCTCTCCGTGTTAAGAAACGGGTTTCTAAAACTGGCTTACATGTTGTCTCCCCCAGAGCATGGAACCGCGAGCCTCAAAGAAAATTTAATCTAGCCTTTAAAAAATGTGTGTGATGATATAAAATGCACATGCGCAGGGCGCAGATGCACAGATGTACAGATGTAGAAGACTCACCGAGGGTGCTGGGGGTGGGCGTGGTCCTGGAGTTTTGAATTTTTATCAGAAGCCCCAGGTGATTTTTAATACCATAAGGGAGTTTAAGAAGCACTGATACAGTCCAACCATTCTCTCTGTCTCTTTTTTATTTTTTGGACATAATTTCATAGTTAGAGAAGTGTTGCTAAATAGTACAAAGAATTCCCAGGTACTTTTCACCCTTCCCCTTTTCGATATTTATATTACTCTCTAACAGTGAGAAACTTGGTTCCCATTATCCACAATGTACTTACTTATTTGCTCAATCCTGGAATGTACAGAATGTCCTTTCAGAACTACTAACCCATGTCTTCAAAAAGGCCAACTAATTAGAATTCAATATATGTTTCAAGTTTTTTTTTTTGTCTTGAGCCTGAGGGCATATACTTAGTCTAAATACCTTGGGTAAGTGATAGCTCCCCTTCTGTGTATGTTATTCATTTGAAGTTCTGTTCAGATCTTTTGTGGTTTTTTTTATCAGTTGTACACCCTCCCCCAAGCTTGTTGATTTTACTGATTTGTTGTTGTTGCTTGAGCATGTAAGGCATTAACATCCAATCATTCATTTTACAGATGGCCTGGGGAGAGAGTCACATGGCCTGGGGATGTGAGATTATGTTGCCAAAGCCACTGAAGCCTTGGGTGTGCTGAGTGTGTTGGATGCTCACAGGCATCCTGTCTCCAGCTTACCACCTTTCCTCAAACACTCTGGGCTTTGGTAATTTCTGGTGCTTGCTGGTTATTAGGTTCCCACAGCTGGATGTGTTTAGCTGGGAGATTGGATTAATTATGGTTTCAAATCTCTGTAGTATCAGCCCCTCTTCAGTGATTTGCATAAGATCCTCCCAGTACAGTTTCTTATAAAGTTAAACTTACGATTACCGCAAGACCAGCAATCCCACCCAAGAAAAATGAAAACATCTATGTCTACATAGATAACTTTACGCAAATAATTATACCAGTTTCATTCATAGTCGCCAAAAAGTGGAAACAGCTTCCCCTATCCCCAGCCCTTGGCAACCACTTTTCTGATTTCTTTCCTTAGATTTCTGTCTTTTCCAGAATGTCTCTTTTTTAACTCAGCATAATGCTTTTGAGAGTCTATCCATGTGTTGCATCTGTCAATTTTTTCCCTTTTCTTTCCTGATTAGTATTCCACTGTATAACAATCTACCCATTCACTAGG